TACCAGAAGATGACGAGAAGGCGAGATCTGAAGAACTTAACAGAGGAATTAAACAAAATACGGTCTCCCTCGTCTTCTAAACCGTATGTAAGATCCTGTGTTCAGTTAGGCAGCGACACCGAAAGATTTGGCAGTGAACTAACAACACAAACTTTCTCCGCATGTCACATCGTTCAAAGATGTTTACTTAAAGTTGGATTGTGTCCGCTCACCAAACTGAATGGTTTTGTTCTTTACTCCCCCAAACAGGTCCAATCAACATCCACCTCAGGTATTCGTATTTCACTTACACACATTTTGGGCTTCAATGACGATTATATAAATAGATACATGACACTGTTGATCGAGAAGCGTGCAATGTTGTTGCTGAGTCTTCAAGTAATTCCTTATAGACTCTTGTGCTTTTATTGGTTTTCAAAAGGATGAAACAAGAGCACTGTCTTAGCGAAAAGTAGCTCACACGACAGTACTCAAATAAGACTGTATTGCGTTAGCCCTAATGGAACAAAAAATATATAACTCACGCTCGCGCAGCCGCATTTATACTGACTAATTTTTGTCGCAAATCTGTTATGGAGTCCATCGCTCTCAGACACAGACCATCTAAATACCACTGGGTTCGGGCTTCTGAGACACGATTGGCTAATTGGAGCGCTGTGGTCAGGCAGTTCTGACAGACCACAACAGTTCGATCACCAAACGCGACTGCATTGGACGTTGTAGATGATCCGTTCGGGGCTGAGAGTGATGACGGCCCGATCGGATCTGTATCCCATTGTGTTACGGAAGAGGTAGAATTTACAGACCCCAGGGTACTGACTGCATCCGAAAGGGAACGGGTGAAGATTTGTACTCGGCCGTGGACACGATCCAGTCCGCGTACAAGGAGTGCAGTATCCGGACAGGAAAATTGCTGGTTGAAACCGGAAAAGGGTTGCACAGGAGTAGGGATCATTCAACGTGCGAACAAACCAATAACTAGCTTCAAGTGTTTCGCATTCACTCGTTGGACTATTCATATTTAGAGCACATACACATAATATATATAAGTGGGTGAAAACATTCCAGCAGCAGCAAATAAAGCATTATTAACACACAACAACGATGGTCACCCGCTTTTAATGAGTTTCAGTTTCAGTTTGTACAATCATTAACCATGCACTATCGTGCGCCGGTTTTAGTTGCTGTCATTTGACTGCCCAATTGGTTGAACATTAGGAGAAAGACAGGAAAGGTTGAAAGTAGGATAAAAGAGAAAATTAAGAATTTCAGTGGATTAATATTGCAAAGAAATTGACAATATGCAGAAATGCTACTGTTTCCGACACTCAATGTCTCGAAACACCGGTTACGATCATCCAGAGGTCCCAAGCCAGGGAGCCTAACGGGACCTGTGACCCAGACTTCTGGTCCGGGTTTTCATGCCCTCATGCAAGGTCTCAACCTGACCATCCTTCGCCATTTTCCAACCTCTACCTGTCTCGGCGAACATCGCTCGCCGCGGCAACCTGTCTGGTTACATGCGTAAAACATGACCTAACCAACGTAATCTATGGAGATCGACCATTTGCTCCAGTGGGCGACCGCCTTTACCTAAAACTCTGCGCCTGACCTCAGCATTGCTCGTCCGGCTGCCCCACCAGATTCGTACAATGCTGCGTAGACAGCGGTGTTCAAACATCGACAGTCTATCTTTATCCTGACTGTTTTTACACTGGACCGAATATGAAACAATTTACAATTTATGTGAATATTATGTCCTCTCACCTCTTCAGCAAAGCGTTCCTCTGTAATTTTGAAAAAAGTTTCCATTAGCTCCTGAACAAGTTCGAGCAGGCGGGATTCCAGCTCTACCAGGGGTAAGTCTGAAGAGCCTGTTTCGATTCGGTTGTCCAGCACGTCACTAATTCAGGTGTGAATTACGACAACAAAAGGAGAAAAGAAAAACATGTTCACTAAAATCAAGTAATCATGGACTTGAAAAACAGTAAGGCAAATCTCTGGTGTACGTTTCCTCGGTAAAATATTAATGATCGAAGTGGCGAAATTGATCATTCAATATAGAGACTCAAAAATGGAACTAGTTTCATGTTTCGGTCCATAGATAGGAGACATCTTACCTTCATCCTGTTCAATACCATGTCCAGCTTAGTATGGTTTTCGGTAGTTCGCTGTTCTAAGCCCCAAGACCGACTGACTGTATGAACAGTAGACCCCCGGGAGAGTAAGGTCTGTTTCTCCTGGAGTTCATCACACATGAGTAAGTACAAACCCGTAAATCACCATATACTTCATATGTCTAAATTAAGACCATATAAAAATGATCGGGCGTAAACAGTCTTCATAACAGAGATATCGGTCGATAACTTGCCCGCGGACGGAATAATGCCACACTGCCTGGGCCAAACCCGAAAAAACGTTGCTCTTTCTCCCTTGAACCTGAAATACTTTCTTGTTGCGCTGTTGTGTGCGATTCGCAAGGTAGCAGAGTTGTTGTCGATAACTAGCCATTACTGCAGACGACATTTAAACAAACATGAATTAGAAATTATGGTCATTCCCAGTGTGAACTGCTTGGTACAGTGGTAACACACACACCTTCCTTCCATGTGAGTGGTCCGGAGTTCAAAGCTCGGACGGAACACCGGATATGTACTAATAATGAGCACTAAGTAGAACGAAACTCGAGTGTAGCGCTTTCTGAGTGTACAATTGACCAGACGAACTGAGGATTGTGTTTGAAGATGAAACCTGAAGGATGGTCAGTCCATATCAACATTCTAGATAAGCCCGAGGCAGCAGCTTGGTTTACTTAATTCCTCTGAAAAGCCTCAACAAGCAGATGGAACGGGACAATGAGTGATGACATCATCAATGAGGAGCCAAATTCATCCAGTCACAGTAACGTCATTAAGGAGGACGCTTGCCACACAAAAATCCGCCATATACAACTGTATATCCTTTTTCTTCAATTACACACCGTTGTGTGATAGACAGCAGTCGGGGTGGAACCCCACAGTCATGAAGACCTGCTTTACAGTGACGGTAACTGGCAACCTAAGCCGCGGGACTTAGGGTGGCAAACCACATAAGGCACCGT